CAGGCCCAGGGCACCGGTCCTCGTCGTCGCTTCGGTACCGGTGGAGCCGCGCCTGAAGACAGGGCCAAGCTCCCTGGGGGCTCCGGGGCTGGAGCACATGGGAGGTGGAGAGAGGCGGAGGGAGCCGGGTGAGTTCAGTCTGAAGAAGGGAAGGCGAGATGGAGAATGTACAGCTGTGGGAGGGCATAAGTGCAGCCTGATTCTTGGAGGAGCTGCACTAGAGGTGGATGCCAGACCCAAGTTACCACATGGGAGGTTCCCATCAGAGATAAGGACTGTGCGATAGCAACTAGGAGCGGGTTTGGGACCTCCTTTTATGGAGGTACTCTAACTTTGATAGGGCAGGACCCTAATAAGTGATAGGCAAGACCCTAATAAGAGATGTGACCGAAGTTCGCCCTGCTTTGTGAGGGTATTGGACCAGAAACATCCAGAGATTCATTCTAGTCTATATTACTGTGTGATTTTTTTAAGGGAAGGAAGCTGCTGGCAGCACTGCTTTGAGAATGCGTAAATAAGGAGCGAGGGAGGATTTGGCACTGTCCTGCTTAAGTGCTTCTCTGGAGTGGTGGGTGGGTACAGCAGGCTGTCGGTAAGATGATTGCTGTCTCCTAGATATGTGCCTTTTTCTAGTGAAAACCTGTCAGGAGTAGGCTGTTGTGCTTCTGGATGAGGAAAATAGGAAGGGTCATAATCTTTGGATGGTTAAATACTAAAGTGTAGCAGACCTGGCTGAAAAATAAATGAAGGCTGAGAGTCAGTTTGGAAAAAGTGCTAAACCTAGTAATTATGTCTCAAAGCATGAGAGGTGGGACCTTTACAGGATTTTGGGTTTTTTTTTAGGTGATCAAGGTGTAAGAGTTGTATTCAGAGGAGAAAAACCCAATGAGAAGAGATGAAAATTATTTCTCTCCTGCTTGTTTTCATTGGGAAGGATTTCTAGCCACATAATTTCATTTTGTGGGGATTTATGAGGGGCTATCTATTGTAAGAAGTGCTGAAGAAGCATTATGGAACAGTCAGAATAAACACTGCCATGCTGCTTAATAGTGAGCTGCTCTGAGCATAGCCTTTTGCCTAAAAACTGCTCTGCTGTGGGGAGGACTCAAATGAGCTTAATGTAGTGCTGTTTTATTATAAGAGTTTTAGGAAATGCCCAATGAACTACCAATTAGTTGAATGGGAAGCTGTCAACTACATTTGGATTTTCAAAAGGGATTCAGCAAGGTTTGCCGCTGAAAGCTCCTAAAGAAATTAAGCTGGCACAGCAGAAGAAAGTTATTGCTTGACTAAATAATTAGCTAAAAGATAGGGAACAGAACTTCGTCACAGAGAGGAGTGAGGGGGAGTTTCTTTGTATTGGAACATGTTGCCCAGAGATGTTGTGGATGCCCCATCCCTGGAAGTGTTCAAGGCCAGGCTGGATGAGGCTTTGAGCAACCTGGCCTAGTGGAGGGTGTCCCTGCCCATGGCAGGGGAGTTGGAACTGGGTGGGCTTTAAGGTCACTTCCAACCCAAACTATTCTATGAACATTGTAGGCAGCTGTGGTCCTCTGAGCTCGTACACAGGTAAAGGAGAAGTTTAAGGGGTTCAGAAGAGGAAGATAAGGGTAATCAGAGACAGGGAATAAGTTTAGTTGTAGGAATGAAGGTGTCTTTGTGGAGGTTTTTGTCTGGAAGAGATGTTTGAGTGGAACATGTTAATAAAGATCTGTAAAACTGCAAGTGGAATGAAGGTAGGTAGGAGAATGATTATTCACTGCTTCAGTGTAACTCGTTGAATACGCACTGTCAGTACAAGAGCTGCAGCATACCTAATGAAATTACAGGGTGGCAAGTACAAGCCAAAAGGCAGCTGACTGCGCGAATTCTGGTACATGCTAAAAGGTCACGAGGCTTCTAAAAAGGACTGAAAAAAAAAATCCCTGAAGAAGAGTCTGTTTGTTGCTATTGAGTTTCTGACTCTCAAACATCTGGCAGACAATATGGTATTTTAATAAAATATCACTGTATTTTTGACCATTTATTACACTCTTCCCATCTGAACTGACTGATATAGAGACGGGTTACTTGTGCACATGATTTGTTGAGAGACAGTGCAATGGTTTTGATGAGTTTGAGAGGCATGACATATGTTTCCTGGAGGGAAATGGGCAACTTGAGCACTAGTTGATTATAGGTTTTTAGAAGGACCTATTTATTTTGCCAGATATCTTTTTGCTTATGTAAAATTCAAATGTGATGGATTTGATTCTAGTTAAATGTCTGTTCAGATCTGTGTTAACATAAATGCTTTTAATTCAACTGTTTTTTGTTGTATTGGTGCACACTTTTATGTGGATCTGGCATGCATTTTTAGAATGAACAGAATAAGCTGAAAAATGTTATAAACAAATTCTTCAGTCAGGGCTGAAAAGTTCATCTTGGAGGATTAGCAGTGGATAGGTTCAATTGCATTTTTATGGTAAATAGATTTTTTTTTTTTTTTGGAAGGATTGTTTTGCCCTCACAATGTTTGGGGACTTATTTGAAGAGGATTTCTCCTTTATTTCAAACAATCATTGTGGAAAAGGAAAGAAATCAAAGCCCAGAGATTCTGAGCCTCCAGCTCCCAGGGATTTCACCAACCTAAGTGGTATCAAAAATCAGGGTGGGACCTGCTACCTCAATTCCCTTCTGCAGACTCTGCTTTTCACACCTGAATTTAGAGGTAACGTGTTCAAAATCTTAAGGTAACTTTGGAAGTGATATTTTACAGTGGCTTGCATTTCTAGCTATTTATTAAAGAAACACCACAAACACAGATTGTTTTCAGGAACTATTTATTTCAGTTCACTTTAAGTAAGTTGTTATAAAATACTCATAACTCTTGGTCTGTGAAAATACAACTTCTGCAAAAGCGATGTTGGTAAGTATTGTAAACGTTACCTTTTCTTTAAACGTCACCTTTCTAAAGTCTACAGTTTGTGTAAAAAAAAAAAAAAAAAAAAAAAAAAAAAAAGTCTATCGCTGTCCATAAAGATCCATTCTTTTTTTTTTTAAATAAACCCACTACAATTCCTTTAAAAATGTTTTGCCATCTAAACACCTTCATGCTTACTTATGCTTTATTGTTATAGCTTGAGCCAGTTGTGAGGATGAATGATGTTCAAAAGTGTTATTTAATGTCTTAATTTGCTGAAAAGAATAGCATCATAATGCTTGACAGTTAAAATACAATAAATCGATAAAGAGAAGATATCATCTTTTTTTTAAATAGGCATTTTTCTTTACATTTACAGAGGCACTGTTCTCTCTAGGACCTGAAGAACTTGGGACTCTGGATGATAGCAGTAAACCAGATGCAAAGGTATTTAAAACTTCCTTGTCCCTAGTCACTGCCGAATGTTGATTCAGAAGAATACTGTTTGAATCTGCATGTAACTTCTTATGGGAATGAATGAAAGCCTGACTTGGATAGTGAAAGACAGTTTGGTTGTTTGATATTAGATTTTGCACACAGATGTAGGTATTCAGTGCAATAAGCTTTTACTTCAAAAGTGAGACATTGAGCCTGTTTCTGCTGGAATTGATAGAAGAGATCGTTTTGTCTGCAGGGGCATCAGGAACCATCCCAAAAGCTGTACAGTCCTTTTCTTAGATTTTTCTCTTCTGTAATTAAAGCTACAGTGCTATGACTTACTTCTCATCAGGGGAAAAAAAAAAGTAAATGTGTGCAGCCTAGCAGACTTCACTAAGGCTGTCTGGAGGTTTAACAGCTCAGCCTTGCACGAGATGGTATGGGGCTGGAATTTAATCTTCGTTTAAAAAGTGCTTATTAAAGTTGGCTACAGAATGTAATTCTTTAGTTCTTGTACTGAAGTGATACACCTGGTTGCTTGGCAAATTATTTTCTTTTTAAGTCCAAGATAAATCTAGGTAGCTGATCAAGCTTGTTGACATTAACCATTCTCCTTCTTCCCATCTCATTCCATCCCATCACCAAACCCTTCACCAAGCAAGGAGTAGCACGTTAGGCATGCCATGTTGTCTTGTAGCTGAGATCTTTGGGTTTAGTATTATGAAAAAGATCAAAGTTGTCCATTTTTACTATGGTGATGGTTTAATTTTAATCTGTACACTTTTGCTTTGTCATAAAACATATGTTTCACAGCTGTATTTGGCTGAGTAAGGTGAAGCACTGTGCATTTGTGGGAATCAAGTCTGACTGATGTTTTGGTGTGAATTAAGTAAGCTGTGTCATGAAAGCCATAGGCAGTGGTGGTTTGTTACAAGTTTTGTACAAATTATTTTTCTTTTTATTTAAATGTTTGGTTTGAAAACTCTTTCTGATCTGGTTGGTATATTTTGCTCTTAATTTCTAGGTTCGAATAATTCCATTGCAACTTCAACGGTTATTTGCTCAGCTTCTGCTCTTGGACCAGCAAGCTGCATCTACCACAGGCCTTACGGAGAGCTTTGGGTGGAACAGCCATGAGGTACAAATCGCCGTCGGTGATGCCGTCATTGATTAACTTTCTCCTGAATGGAGGAGACTTTTTTTGAAGTCTAACATTTAGGAAATATCTTAAAATACTTCCAGCTGTGGAGATAGAATTGAATTGGGTCAACTATGGTTGTATATTATTGTATCTCCACATAAAGTACCTGCCAATTGTTTGCAGTGAGCAGCAGAAGGAAATTATTCTGCTACATAAAACTCCCATAGCTTTCCCTTTGTTTTTGCAGGAATGGTTTTGTTTTGGTGTTTTTTTTTTTTTCCCCCCAACCATAATTAAGGTTCTTGACCTTCAAATACTTAGATTCTTACCTAAATTGAACTGTGTAACTCATATTAGACTTTAGTCTAGATGTATCCAAGTGAAAGTGTCTTAGGTGGGTTACAGTTTCTGTTACTGTAGCTACTCAGAGAGCATAACTTAAGAATAACAAATAATAATAAAGGTAGTAATTCACTGCTCAAGATAGTAAATATTTGGGTAATCACTGAGGCAGCTGTCTTTGTCACACTTAATATATGCTGGTTTTAAGCAATCAGCAAAGCAGATGGCACTGTTTTATTTCTTCAAGCTGTTTTTTTCTTATCATACAGGAAATGAGGCAGCATGATGTGCAGGAGTTAAATCGGATTTTGTTCAGTGCTTTGGAAACTTCCCTGGTGGGGACGTCAGGTCATGATCTTATTAATCAATTGTACCATGGGGTTGTTGTCAACCAGATTGTTTGTAAAGAATGCAAGAACATCAGCGAGAGACAGGTAAAGCCAGAGGATTTTCCAGAATGGTTTCTGTTCAGTCTGTTGAAGATATTCTGAGTGTTCTTTTTTTTTATACTCCAAAAATAGTGGCATCTTTCTTGAGTGCCACTGGTGGCCTTGATGAATCTAGGTAGTGTGTATTGGTTAGAGCGCTGCAGACTTGAGAACGTGTGAAAATTATGCATGACTTCGTTCTGTCTTGGCTGGCATTTTCTAAACCACCTACATCAGGCTGTGACTCAGAGGTGAAAAAACAAGTGTTACTGCATTTTCTGAGTCGGCAACCTTTAGTAGATATAGCTGGGAGAATGCTGAACAGTGGGGTGATGACAGTAAAACATATCTTTACATTCTTTTACTGCTCTTTGTAATGTAAAATTTTTTTTTTTTACATTAATTTCTCTTACGTGGCTGTATGAGATTTGTTTGGGTGTTTCTCTTTTTTTCCCCATCAACAATGAAAGTGAAATGAGTCCTCACATCTGCTGTGGTGAATGGGATGACTGTCATTCTAATGTGTTATGAACTTACACTGCTTACTACCTTATTTTTTATTGTACTTCTGCATAGGAAGATTTCTTAGACTTAACAGTGGCGGTAAAAGGTGTAGCTGGCTTGGAGGAGGCCCTCTGGAACATGTACGTGGAAGAAGAGTACTTTGAAAACGAGAACTTGTATCGATGTGGAGCCTGTGATAAACTTGTTGAAGCTTCAAAGGTAGTTCTCAGCGTTCAGCTTGCTAACAGTTAGGAAGTTTATTTACATTGCTGTGTCTGCCCTCTAACTTGGAAATGACAAAATATCTGTCTTCAGTCAGATATAACAAGAGGATGTCAAAATCTGACCTGTTTTTTAAACCTCAGCAACTATGTCAAGAAAAGCTCATGTGACTCATTCCTTGACTTGGATGTTGTTGTAGTGTTTAAGCTAACCAATGGTGAATAGGAAGGCTTGTTGTTTTGAGAGCAGGGCCTCGTTCTCATGCCTCTACTGCCCCTGGCATTGGGCATTTCACAGGATAAGCTAAAAGATAAGCTAAAGCATCAAGAAAAAATAAACAGAGAAATTCTCTCATGAAGAGTCCACATGGGAGAGAAAAATAAGACAACTGTTGCTCTGCACAGGGAAATGCTATCTGCTGATCCAGGTATTGCATTGTTTCCCTGATGCTGAACAGGTTCTTACAGTGATAAATTAACACTTTAGTAGGTGTTTTTAGTATGTTCAGTAGCGCTGGAGCCTTCAGGTCAGTAAGAATGAAGTAATGCAAGGAACCATCCAGATCTAGCGTGGGTATGTTTTCACCGTGTATGCCTGTGCTGTTCCCATCCACTAGCTTGCTTCTGGTATAAGCACCACCACTTCGTGTCCTCTCTCGGTGAGCTTTTCAACCACTTGCCTCATGCTAAGCCAGTGGCTTCCACTAGCCAGTGGCTCCATGGGCACCACCCGGAGGTTGCCTCCATCTCTCCATGGGCACCACCAGGAGTTTGCCTCCATCTGAGAGGCCAGGAAGGAGGATAAAAATCCAGGCACAGCAAAGGTGCAGAGTCATGTTCCAGCGGTCGGAGTATGGACTGTGAAATTCGTCTCTTTCAGGCAATAGCTTAAACTGATTGGCTTCCTTCAACAGCATCTTCATCTGTTCAGTTGTACTGTTTTGTCATTATCTTCTAGTGAATGATTCAGTGCTTTGATCTGTGCTCAGGTATAGGTGAGAACTTGTTTTTAAGGGTTTGGTTTTTTGTTTGGTGGAGTTCCTCTTTTTTTTTTTTTTAAATTGTAAAGCCAAATGCAGTGACCATTTTGCTGTACTGAGTCATTGGAATTCCTCAGAGAATTGAGAACAGAGAACTGTTGACATTCTCAATTCTGTAGAACTGTTCTCTCTGTAGAACAGAGAACTGTTGACATTGAGCCTGTGGTGTTTTTTGAGAGTGGTTCCCAGGAGCTCAGGGCCATCCAGACTGGAGCACTCCTTTGCCTAGTTCCCTGCCTTCGTCCTTTGGCACCTTGAGAAAGCTTCAGATGCTTGACACTTACTGAAGTTGGTATCTCCCGGAGGAGTTGTGTATGTGACCCTGAGTGCTTTGTTAAACAGTGGCGTGGCTGTTAACACTGGTTACTGTCTGTATGCCAGTGCAGCCTGCAACATCCTTGTGCTGACAGCTTACGCCTGTTTGGTTTACAACAGTTTGGACTGGTTTCCCCAAAATGGTAATTGATTTTCAGACTTCTTGTGTTCTGTCAGCCATCCCCTTGGCCAGGGAAGGGGAGCCCAGTTTACAAGAGTTGTAGGTCTTTAAATTGCACTTTTCTTCAATGATACGAAGTGGAGTTTGGTTTCTTTCTGTGCGAATTTTTCATGTCGTAAGTTTTTCATAAAAAGTTGCTCATTTTTCCTGTTATTCCCCCTGTTTTTTGTAAAGGGGAAACAGACCTAGACTCATGCTATTAGTGCAGCATGATATATTCTGTCCTCTTCACAGCAGTGAAACCTTTTGGCCTGCTCTGGTGACTCTCATCTGCAGCAGGATGAGCATAATCCAAACCTTGCAGGACCCATAATGTGGAAGGGAGCGGGTGCAAAGGCAAGCTGAGGAATCAGTTAAGTTAATCAGTGACTCAGGAGTTCAGTAACATTTGCCATTGCCTCACGTGGCTTGGTTATAAGGGCTTGTTGGAGTTAAACTTTGCTGGGTTCAGGGGAGGGCGAGATAACAGTTGCTTACCTCTCAAATGTGGTCGTCCACGCAACAACACAGTGGGAACTCAGAACTTGGGTAGGAAGTCATGTAGCAAGGGGGTGTCAGAGTATGAATGGACAACCTCAAGAGAAGAGAGGCTTTGCTGGTAAGATGTAGCAGGAAGGAGGGGCGTTGTGTCAGCATGAGCGCTGCCTGTGGCCCCACAGGCATGCTGTGTGTGATCACAGCCGGCTGTGGTGACCGTCAGCACTGGCAGCACATGAGATGCTGTCTGGGTAACTCCAGGCTTGGTGACAGCATTAGGAAGGCAGCTGCCTAACAGTGCCACCACCTGCCTACACCTAGTCTCTGTCAAAGACAAGATGGCCCACACCTACCTACTCCATTCCTCCCTTCCTTCTGTATGCTGTGGGTCTTTGGATGTTATTCTTGACCATTTTTGTCTCGGTCTCTAGAGGATTTAGTTGTTAAAAGTCTTGTGGTGCAGAAACTTATAAAATTTTAATTATATGGTCTGGTTATCACTCTAAACTTGGAAGAGCATGCAAAACCCTTTGTGCCACTAAGCTCTGCACAGTAGTCCTTGAAATTGATACACCTTATTTAGGGAGTTTATGAGGCTTTCTGGTGTCTCTCTGCAAATGGAGAGTTGGGTGGAGACTGGAAAGGCTCAGAAGCGTGTCCTTTGAATCTCCACTTACATTCAGTGGTGGTACAAGGTGGCTGGTTTGGCTTCACCTCAGCATTCCTGATGTGCTCACACCAAGTTATTCGATCTTGATTAATATTCTTCTTTACTGAAATGTATTATGTTGGCTTTCCTGCCTTGAAAGCCCTCCTCTGTATAAATGGGACAGACTTTAACCCTTGCTTCGTTATAAGGTCTTCACGTGTGAGAACAAACCCAAGGGGGCTGAAACAGTTGTTTCTAAATATAAAATTCAAGAAAATCCTTTCACAAAACATGTGGGCTATGGAGTTTAAGCAATATGCTGCTGTGTTTTCTGTAGGGTATTAGTGATCACCATTCAGCGAAGGTGTAAGGCTTAACAGAGGGGAAGGATCTTGATTGCTTTTAGGATGTCTGGTTGGTAGGGAAATTTAGAATTAGGGAAGACATTTTAAAAAAGATGACGCTGCTCATGTCTGCCTGGTAGTAATGAGGCTTTCTTGGAGGACGAAGTAGACCATAGCAAGATGGGAACGCTCTTCTCTATAACTGCGTGCTTAAAACCCTTTTTTAATCATTTTGCAGTCTGCCAAACTACGCAAATTGCCACCCTTTCTCACCATTTCTCTCCTGAGATTTAACTTTGACTTTGAGAAGTGTGAACGATACAAGGAAACAAGCTGCTATACCTTCCCTATCCAGATAAATCTGAGGCCTTTCTGTGAGCAGGTTTGTACTGTTACATTTTGTACTTTCCAACCCTAACCATTCTGTGATTCTGTGATTTGTTAAAGTCTCTATAAACTTTGCAGAGAAAGGGTATCTCAAGAACAAGTTAGCTTTCATTTTGCATTTTACCAGGGCAAGGTATTTGAGGAACTCTGTGGGGTTTTCTTCCGTCCCTCATTCCACATCTTTGGAATTTTTTTTTTTCTAAAAGACCACTTTCTAACTGAGTGGGAAAGACCTTGTAGCTGTACAAGGGGAAAGGGTATAATAATTACTTTAAACTTAATTTGACACTTGCTTGAAAGGAAGATTATCACCTGGAAGTAGAAATTCAGTTTGGTTTTGTACTGTCATTGTATGATAACCTCATATTTAAATTTAGCTACGTGTGTTTTATGTACCTGTAGTTACTTCATTTTTCTTAGGAATCTGTCTTTGTACTCATGTATATGTATTTTGATTATGAACTGAGCTATACCAGTGCTTGATGACAATTTTTCATTGTTAAAATATATAAAGAATATACTTAATAGAGGCACTGTTACGGGGGTAGGGGAAGGAATTTTTTTTTTTTAAATGTTTCAGTGTAAGCTTGGAAATTTCTCAGTGTTTGCATCTGAAGAAGCATTTTTTTTCTTCAGTTGGCTGTGTATATAAATGTGTTACTTGTTTAAAAGACTAGAGAAAAAACAAAATAAGCCTGGTTATGAACAAACGGATTGAGCTGTTCTATTATTTGCATCAATATTTTTCATTATTTTAAATATCCAGTATTGTTAACAATCATGCTTAAAGCCAGTGCCTTGTCCATGGTTTGTGTCAGTCTATACTTGTGTTCCCCAGCACTGAAAGGTCTCAGTCTCTGTGCGTGCGAATGCACGCTGAGAAGTATCTGAAGCTATGCTGATGGTGTAAAGCTGTCCTGCTGTGAAAGACTTACTGATATGCATTATCGTTATTATATTGTTTTTCTTTTTAAAGACTGAAATGGATGATTCAGAGTACATGTATGAGCTCTTCTCTGTTATTATACATAAAGGTGGCTGCTATGGAGGACACTATCATGTTTATATCAGGGATGTGGATGAATTAGGAAACTGGCAATTACAAGTAAGTCCTGAATGTTTTTCTTCCTTGCTTGGTATGTCTCATTTTTTTTCAGTAATGTTTTAAGAGCTGGTGGATAAAATGTACATCCAAGCTAAGTAATATTTTAGTGAGGCACTGGTCTCACCTCATCAAGAAGGCTGGTTTTCCACAGTATGAGATCTCTTTTAAGGTTTTGTAGCAAATTTTAGCTTTTCAATCTGCTGAACTGCTCACATTACTGCGCTAACTATAAATGAATTAATATTTTTGCTCAAGTCTAGCAGAGCCATTTTAATGGATGACTCTGACTGTTTGGAAATAACACAAATGCCATTTCTGTTAAAAACCCCTGGTAGTGAATATTCTGTATGGCAATACACCATAGCAGGTGGCAGAGGCAGCTTATCCTTCACACTTCTAAACTGTGCGTGCTAACGTTAGTACAGACTGTAATCAAAAACAGGTAGTTGAGTGTGAAACAACAGTGTTTGTGAGTCTTTTTTTTTTTTTTATCCAGGAAGAAGAAGATAGGCTGATTGAAGATAAGGCTTTAAGAGATATTGAAAATGGCAAAGAAATAGAAAACCCATTGGCAGTGTTGAAAGGGATTTTATCAGAGGTATGGTATGTAAGGATTTTATTGCTTTGATTTTGGTATTAAGGACCCTAGCAGAAAGGGTTAGTGTATGCAAGAGTGGGCAGATTTAAGTGTGTAGAACTCTTCTGAATTCATTGTGAAGCATGCAAAACTTGTAACTTAACCTGACTTGAATACTAATAGTGGCTCTACATACAGAAAACACCCCTTTTTGTGTATTTCTTATGTTGCTAGCCAAAGCTGTTGCAAAAGGTGACTTTACATCAGCTTACTAACAATCAGGAATGGTTTAAACACGTCAGAATTGGCCTCTTTGTGTTGATCCCTTGACTTTTGTAGCCTTAATTATCCTAGTTTTTAATTTCTTTGTAGGAAGAATCTAAACAAATTCCCGTGGATCAATTAGGGCAGAAATTATTGGAGAAAAAAGGGGTATCCTGGAATAAGAAATACCGAAAACAATATGGAGCATTACGAAAGGTAATAAGCATGTATGTTAATCTGGTTCTTACTGTTAAGATAACTTTATATTTATATTCCTATTGAATAGTCAGTAGGATGGTAATTGAAAATACTGGCACTTGCACTCGCAAGATAGAGCATGGGCTAAGAGAGATCTGTAAGATAAATCAGTAGACTGAGGAACATGGACAAGATTCTCAAGGATTGTCTGCCTAAAAGTTTATATCTTTTTCCCATCTATATGGTTGGCCTATAAAAGAATTAACCTTACCTACTGAACCTTGTTTCATTTATGTCTGTGGATGAAGCTGCAACAACAGCACTAGTGCTTGAACATAGAAGCACGGATGAGAATTGAAGAAATAGGGTACCTCTTCACAGTCATAACAGAAATGAGGTTTTGAAAATGTGTGCCCCTTTTTGTTGATTAGGGCGTGTCCATCAAATGAACATTTCCAGTAAAATCTTGTTTGAGTCTGTCACTGTATTTTCTAGTGCTTTAAGGAAAATACTTCAGCATTTGTTATGTGGAAAATTTCTTTTTGACTGTTTTTTTTAATAGAGCTGACAGTGCAGTTTTCATAATTATTTACAAGTAGTTGTGAAATTTGATTGTGAGTCTTCTGCAGAGGTAGGTGCTTTTCTGACTTTGACAGAGAAGTGATTAAAACCAAGTTATGAACAACCCAGTATTAACCATTTCAAGGTGCTATTGTGAATACTGCCAAAGCTGACTCTTGATGAGTACCGGATCTATAGCAGTAGCACATTGATCAATGCAGGGCTTGCCTTATTGAAATAACTGTAAATTGGTTTACACTTTTTGAAGTATCAAATGAGCTAGCAGGGATGGTAAAAGGTGAGTCTGATGAAGCAGAAGCTTTGATTGCCTACAGAGCATCACTCCCTGTGCTACATTTCCAGGGACATAGTGTGCACTTGTGAGAAGTGATTTGAAGGGACTCTCGTGTCTCAAGCAACCTTTGAAATTCAGAAGTTAGTCTGATTTAATTCTTAGGGATGCACATATGTTGAAAACAATTCTTTTGCAATTTCTTGCATGATAGTTTGAAGTTACATAAGAAATGAAGCCAGCAACAGCATATAAAAGATCAGGCAGATAAGTGGTGGTAGGAAAATTACATTTTTCTGTCCAAACTGAGGAAATATGTGAGGAAGCATCAGAAAACAAAGTTTGAAGGGATGGGGTTTGTATATAAATTTTAGGGTGAATCAGGTGAAGTAGCTAATGCAGGCTGCTATATCTAAAACTGAGTATCTTCTTAATCTTGTCCTTGCTTTCCTTTTTAGTACTTACAGAATCATCCTCAGATATTTCGGTTCAGTCCTGATGAAAATAAGGTTGGTCTGAAGGAAAAAAACAAGCTCCCGTTTCAGTCAGATCCTCAAGGACAAGCTCTGCAAAGCCCTCCTCAGAAGAATGATGTCCAGTGGAATTCAGGAAAAAAACCTACAAGGCTAAGGGAGAGTTCTGCCAGATGCCACTGGTTTGATCTGAATGATTCCAAAGTCCAGCCGATCAAGGAGAAGGATATTGAGAAACAATTTCAGGGTAAAGAGAGTGCCTACATGCTGTTCTATCGAAAATCTCAGTTAAAAAGACCACCTGAAGGTACACAAAGCTCATCTTAATATTCCGGGGGGTTCCTTCACTGACAGTTTGTTTTCTGGAGGTGAAAGGCTGTTGAGCCTTTCTGTCCTCTTGGAGAATGAAGGATAACGGTTTTCTTTCTAGTGCTTGTTTGAGAAAAGGGTTGACTGAAGACACAAGGAGGTAGTGACCAGTTGGTTGGCTAAGCTGATGCTAACTTTTTTCCTAGTACGCTTCACAAATACTAGTAGAAGATCTCCTACTGAAATGAATAAAAGTTGTTGCCAGCGGCATTCATCTATCAGTTAGACTGATGGGAAGAAATAAAAGCAGTTGTTTGTTCTTTGTATCATCTTGCAGATTAATTTTCTCTCTTATGAAAGGATGCAACATTATTGCTCTGGATTTTCGATGATTACCCTACTGTAATGTCTCATCTTGATCACTTTTCTTGTTTGCTGAAACACATTTTAAGTAGCTGAGGCCAAACTAGCCTATATTATTTGTTGCAGCGCGAGGAAATCCAAGGTACCAAATTCCTGAACACCTTCTGAATGAAATGAATGCTGCTAATACTGAGCTGCAAAAAAAGAGGTATATTAATGTAACTGTACCAGTCTCTTAAACAGCATTCTTAATCTGCAGATCTCCAAAGTATTTAAAATAAAAGAAACACATTGGGTAGAACTAGATACTAATATGATTGTGTCATAGAGGCTAATCCAGGGATACACCTTCTGTGCCCAGATTCTGCCTTCTACTGGTTCCCTGCCTCCCTGTTTGTGGCATAATGAGGCATTCCACAGAACTTCAAGGGAAACTTACTTCCAGTTTAAGATAGCACTTTTTTTTTTTTTAAATCAGGGCAATGCTGAAAGGAGAATGGAACACATTATCCTAATTGTGTTTATTGAGGGAGTTCTCCATTAGGAGAAGGAGGAATGACTTGCTTTACTGTCAAACAACAAGTAAATGGTATCCTTGGCCAGAAATGTGGAGGAAAGAGCTAGTGGTATTCAGGGTGGCTGACATTTTTCCTTCTGTTGAGGAACACGTGGAACTTGTAAATCACAGTTAAGCTATTAAAGTAGAGACACAAGAGACATAAGTCTTGTGTGATATCTCTGGACTGTGCAAATTCAACTTCTTTGTTTTTTTGAATGGCCTACCTTTTGCTGTAAAGAAGGAAGGCGTGGCTGTGGCTGTCCTGACTCAGTTTCCATGCAGTTTTTCTGTCTCTGCATTTCATCAGACTGCTAATCTGGAAGACAGCCTGAAAAACCCTACAGTCTCCACTTCCCTAAAGATGAAGTTTGTCATGCTGTTTAGAAAGGTAGAAGCAAGGTGTAGAAACGCACAGAATGTACTGTTACAGTGCTTGTGTGGGGGATGTCTAAGCTAGCTCTGTATTGCACAGCACGTAAAGCACTCTCGTCCTTGAGCACCTCTTTGCATACCCCTTGATGGAGGGGGCAGTGTGAGGGGGAATTTAGCCATGAGGATATCGATGCCAGGACAGCTATGCAGAAGCTTCTCTGAAATAAGCTGGCAGTTTGTCAGCATTAAATTCACAGGTTTATTATTGTGTTATTCTTGCAAAGAGCGGAATGTGACTCGGCAAACAACGGCATTGATTTACATCTCCATCTGAGCTCATGTTACCAGTTTCACAATGGGGCTTTGCATCCTTTGCTTACTTGGAAAGAGAGTGTCGTGGATTTGACTATTGACAGAAGAAAAACACTAGGACACCTTCGACAATCAGTATTCCAGGTATTTGTTACATTAAATGAACTCAAACACTGCAGTTTTACTTGAGCTATGACATTTACATGTGTATTTATACAGTAGTTTTATCTCAATGAGAAATTACACTTGTAAATGTTGCATTAGGAAGCTGAAAACTACGGATTTACGCAGAAGAAAATGTTGCTTTGAGGTCTCTTCTTGAAGTATAGAAGAGGACATGAAATTGTCACAACTTAGAATTACATAGCCTTGAAAGGGCTCAAAAGCTAACTTCTTTATATTTGGGCAGCATGTAACTGGGCATGGATTGACACTGCAAAACTCCAGACTTTTTCTTACTAAGTCTGTGACAGATATTGCTTTGCATTTTCAAGGAGCTAGCTGGCCTTAAAAGGAAATAATCAGAGTAGTCGGAAAAAAAAGAAAATCAGTTAAAAGAAATATTTAGCTTAACTATTGAATGTAGTATCTTTGCATTTGTTCTCTACTATGTTAAAGAAATATGACAGTTTGTAAAATGCTTTTTCAGATACCTAAATCAAATCTAACTTGATGTCAGGAAACATTGGTTGCTTTTCCTGTACCTCACAACCTTTTGGTTAGTGTCAGGATAGTCTGAAAGACTAAATCCTAAATGACAGTTTTCTGTGTTACTAGTCTTGCTGAAGTCATTAGCTGTGACATGTTAAGTGTCAAAGTGAGCTCAGTAACCAAGCTGTAACAGCTTTCAGCAAAGTTGTAATTATGAGTGATGCGAATTGTTGCTTGCTGGTGTTTTTTATATATATATACATACATAATTTTTTTTTTTTAAATTCTTCCTACTTAGATGTTAGAATCTTGGGAAGGAGACATGGTTCTCAGTATTGCCAAGCCTTTACCAGCAGGACTGCATCTTTACCAGATACTTGATGGTAAGACTACTACATACAAGGCTTCTGTGTTATTAATATATTGTGTTCACTGCAGACAGGGAGGGTTTCATATGTAAAACATCTTGAAGTCTATTACTGAACACTTGTCAAACTCCTGCACACAGTCCTCAGCTGTAATTTGGGACACTTATAGGGGAATGTTGCTTTTCGAGACTTTATGTAATCTTTTTTGTGAAGTGCAGTAAGACTGCAGGTCTGTATGCAAGTTAAACACATTTGCTGACAAAAATATGTCAGCCTGTATTTTGACCTTGATTTGCTTTTGAATGTTTGCTTTCATAGCATTCGCCTAGTAGGTAGAGGAGAGGATAGAAGGGAGGAGCCAAGGTGACATCAAAGAAAAATGTAAGTTAGACCTAAGCTGAAGTAGGAATCTTGGAAAATGCTTCCATAAAGAGTATGCTAATTATAGAAGAGTTAATTAATATTTTAAAACCATGAATTCTGTCTCCAGCTGTGCACTGATGTGCAGTTCTAGGCGTTCGTCTTCAAACCTACTCAGCTATTTTTAAATTTTACATTCTTTGTGGTCCGTTTCAGAAAATTAGCGTTCTGACAGAACATAACCCACCTTTCCATGATGTTGACATGATGTTGAGCCAGAGTACAATGTGCTGGTTTATTTCAGTTTACCATCTGGCCCCGCTTTGGGAGCGGGGACAGAACTTCATGATTTCCTTCTTTTTAGGAGATGAGCTGACACTGGATGGCATTGGGCTGGTTGATGGAGCAGACATCTTTGTGTGGAATGGGAAAGAGGTAAAAGAACTAAATACTCTCTCTCCTTGTTTTTTGGAAGAGATAAGACGCAGTCTCCAGACACACTTTTGCAGAAGCTGATCCGTTCTGCAGATGTGCTACTGACATACCACTGTTGCCTGTGGGGACAGCTCCTCAGCCTCATCTAGGATACTGTGTGATTACAGCTTGTCAGTATGCCTTGAGTCATGTAGAGTGTGGTGCTGGGCAAAATTATAAATAGAATTATATTACGCCAAAAATAAAAAGGTCAGATTGATAGGTGCCTGAAGATATCCAATGCCACTTACATTGGAGTATATTCTGAGAACATCTGGTGCCCCTTGGAAGGAGCCTGTTGACAGCAATGTGATAACAAAAACTTATGCCCTGTAGTGAATTATTCCATATATAAAATTTGACCTGTCTATGACTTCTTTGTGCATGGTCTCCCTGAAATACTGTGTTCCTTTTCTAGCATTGCATCCTCCTTTTAATATTAAGGCTTCTGTTAACTTGGAAATACTTGCCTCAGTGATTATGGAACAGCATTTTATTCCATCTCTGTAATGGAATAAAATTTTACTTTTGAAAGATTTTTTTCTTGTTTGTTGTAAAAATATGCATTTTCTTTTTTATTTATCAAAAAACCCACCCCAAAACCAAAAGAAAACATCTAGTAACAGAGTTGTTCTGGTCTTGATTATACTTTCGGTAGGGTCTTCACTACTCCAGCTTCCTGTGTGATTAAATAGTCTTCGGCAGGGAGCTAACTTCTTTGCCTACATTGAATATCAGAAAGACCAGATTTTAAAATCTAGCTCTCCTCATCTACCTCAGTCATGCTTTAGGGTAGTTCTTTAATAACCTGAGGGGCTAAATTCCTCGATTCTTAATGTGATGGAGACCAAGTGTCCACTGGTTTCCCACCTACTGCTACTAACATATTTATTGTATCTGTGGACTTGGAACAGACCTCAGCGTTACGCTTTCTCTTCCCAACACCTTTGAGTTACTTTGGTTGTTCAGTAGGCATTTGGTGAAAGGTGCTTTATTACTCATGAGGAGAAGGGTTCCATCTTTTTGTCTCAGTACAATTATTGTTGTCATTTGTTGCTGTCCAGTCTTTTCTGTATTTTATTGATCACCACTGCATAAATCTTGCATTCCTTCCTTCAGGTTGGTGGTACAAAGGTGATGACAGGCCCTGATCATGAACCTGTGGTCATAAACGTGCTTCGTTTAGCAGAATATAACGAAGGAGGGAAGGGTCAGCATTTCACAGAATCGCAGCATGTCTTTTCATGCGGCACAAAAGTGGGTGATCTGCACAGAGCCTTGGCACCGTCAGGAGGAATAATTCTAAAGAATGGCTCAGGACCAGATAAAGAAGCCAAGAACTGGGAAGTTTTTCTTGAAGAAGATATGAAGGAAACGGTCAGAAGTGTTGGTCTGACAGATGGATGCTCAGTACTAATCTTAGACAGCCATGACCAGAGGTAACCATTTTGAGAACAGGTATATTTAAACAAAAAAAGGCAATTTTGGAATAATGTGTTTAGTTAAAATTATGCTAGCTGTATAGATTTTCTTTTAACTAATTGTCACTTTCAACTTTTTCATTCAATATAAAGTAATCTTAAATTTTGGGGTTCGGATACTTACTGTTAGATATGTCTTTGCTCTTGAAGTACATATGCAGTCACGTCCTTTCACTTACGCTCATAAAGGGAAAAACTAACAAGACCAACATGTGCCCAGTGTGCTGGCACATCTTGGGCATACCCTGAATTTCTGAGGTTTGAGTTACATGGTTTTCTGAGGGACTTGGTGGGATGAGAGAACAGAGCATGCAGCTCTGCTGAATCTCCTAGCTGAACCTAAAGTTGCCAGGAGCAAATTTCTGATCTCATTTTGCTTCCCAGCACGTAGCCCTGAGGTTGGGCTCCTGTTTTCAGAGATAGGTGCTTGTTACATAAATTCTAACTTCCTAGTTGAAACAGTACGGAAAACAGTACTTGGACCTGTAAGAAAGCTGGAGGGGGGGACTTTTTACAAGGGCCTGTAGTGACAGGACAAGGGGTAACGGGTTTAAATTGAAAGTGGGGAGATAATAGATTAGATATCAGGAAGAAGTTCTTCCCGGAGAGGGTGGTGAGGCACTGGGACAGGTTGCCCGGGGAAGCTGTGGATGCCCCATCCCTGGAAGTGTCCAGGGCCAGGCTGGATGAGGCTTTGAGCAACCTGGTCTAGTGGAGGGGGTCCCTGCCCATGGCAGGGGGGTTGGAACGAGATGGTCTTTAAGGTCCTTCCAATCCAAACCGTTCTGTGATTCTATGAAAAATTGACATTGTATCAAGCAGTGAGAGGGCTCTTCAGAGTGAGAACTGTTTCTCGGTTTATATACAGTGGCAGAGACAGAAAATCTCAAATTTTAGTTACCACTAGGTATGCTTTTACAGTAATTTTTTCCAGAAGCCTTAAATCCAGCCTCAGAAGGTGATTTAGACTCTGAAGTGCCTTCAGAAGCTCAAGTCCCATTGAAAGCCCTAGTTACCGTAACGCAGTTTTTACTGATTTACTCAGTAACCAGCCCAGAGGTGCCTGAATGCTGCCCAGGGTCTCTGACTTGCACTCTGTGATGTGCCATCACTATTAATGCCCTAGGTGTTACCGGTTTGTTTGAGAGCTTTGGTATGTAGCGATCTAGCCCAGACAGCGTGTTCTTTTCCTGTCTTTGACCATCTTTGCACTGCTCGGTTTTTTTTTTCTTTACAGCTTCGTGAATGTGTCAAGTGGCAATTTGACTGCTTTTACGTATGACATCAGCTGGCTCCAAGTGAAAAACTTCTGCGGATCAGATGATGAAGAAAAGAAACACGTTAAAATTACTGCCACTATTGAAACAGTAAGAAGTCTGATGTAACTCAGCCTGTTTCCCTGAAAAGCTTGGCCAGTGCACTTGAGCCGATTAATGGGGAGTGGATTTAGCCTCAGGGCTGGAGTTTTTCTGTGATGAAAATAGTGTGTAACTCACAGTCACCATTACTGGAATACTTTGCTGTGTAATAAGACTGTAACGCTGGTAACTTAAACCAGTGTGGTCTATGTGAGGATGGAACAATTTGCCTTTTGGACCATCCTGTAAATGTATGTTTGAGGCTGTGTCAGTAAACAAAAGCTAAAAGAGGAGGAAAGTGTTATTTCTTGCTTTCAGCATAGGATAGGAGAAAATACTGGTTTTTCCCAAGGGGTGGGCTTCTCTGGTACTTTTTCTGCCTTTTAAGTTATCTTCTGTTACAGAAAATATGAAGTACTTAGTTTTGCTTATAAAATTGCTAGTTATGAAATACTAGTCTTTTGACAAATCCAAAAATTAAATACCACTTTCTTTTTCTTTGGAAGACTGTTTTAAGAAGAATTATATATTTGGTATGATAAAGAAATGTTTTCTCATCTGTGTATGGAGTTAATGGGAGTAAGAACATAATTGGGATGCATTTCAAGTGCAGAGTGCCTTTTCTGGACTGGCATTTGCAGAGCAGGTGTGTTACTGGTGTCCTGTATTAGAGGTGTTAATATTGCTTTCTTTTAGGTGATGTCAGATATCAGAATGAAAGCAATACGGGAGCTTCAGCTAGAGGAGGAACTAGGTGAGTGTTCAGCTGCTTTACTCTTAGATCTGACAATGTTAGAGTTTACTGTCTGGCTTCCTGCTTTTTGTGTCACTTTATTCAAAACAGCAAGTTCATTGCTGTTAGGGGTGTTTTGGGGAGGAAAGAGGGTGAAAAGGACTTTAAAATTAATCTAATTTTGAATAAATTTTTCCTAGCTGAAAACAAATATCAGTGTAAGTCTCGATTAAAATACATTTTATGAATATCTTTCAGAAGCTGTTTGAGTAGGAATAATCCTGTCATCTTACTGAAGTATTACACTAAGAATTGAACACTTATTTTTCCTTACTTTATTCCTTTCTTTAAAACACTCCAGTTGATTTTCTTTAAAACTTCTGTTGATGCCTTTGCCTTTTGATGCACTTGGTCAATGTTAGAGTATTTTACTGATTGTGGCCCATAGCTGGCTTCAACGAGAAAGTAATCTTTCACTGAAAGGGTAAAATATAATTGTCTAGGAATCTTTCTCCAATTAGGCTTTTGATGTAAGACCTGCAGAGAGAGGGCTCTAAGATAAACGTGTTGTCATTAATCTTAAATACGTTATCTGTTGAAACTTCTGAGCCAAAGTTGTTCTTATTTGAATTACATCTCTCTCCTTCCTGCCCCTTTTGTTACAGCAAACAACAGCTGTCTTAGACCTGTCAGTGGAAATGGGAAACTTCTTTCTCCAGGTAAATTTATTGATGTAATCATTCTTCTGTAAGAAGTTCAATTGGAAACTTGAAGCTTCCCTTTGTCCTTTCCTAGGAGAAGTACACACACCCCCCTCAACTGTTTTCCAGGTGGGGAAATTAGTGGTGTGGGTGGGTTTTTTTCCCAGATCTACTGTTTATTAACAGTACCAATAGAAAGGTAGAGGTTAAACTTTAATGTTCAGCTTGGTTTTATTACTTACATTCCTAATTAGCATAGCTGCCACTGTTTATTGACCACTGGCCATGTGCTTCAGGACTGTGGAAATTAACAGAAAGTTGTTTCCCATACTACTTCTATAAATTGAAAAGACCATAAATGATCTGTTTTGTATTGTATTTAATACTTTATAGAGCAACTTCTCTAGATGTTCCAGGAAGCAGAATCATTGTTCCATGTCTTTCGAACTTACATTTCCTGAAACAAAATGACCTAAATGTGTTTGAGAGTGCTGATGCGCAGGGTTGGATTTCAGAACAACTTGAGCAGCGAACTTGAGTCTTGTGCTGTTGGAGGAAGCATTGTTGGGTTCCTGCTTACTCTTGGAAGGCAGCTTGTGACTGTAGCTTATGAAGCACACTGAATACATGTGGATTTCTGTTTCTGTAAGAGTGGAGGAACATATTCATGCCCCAGCCTGCTTTTTGATTTGGATGAGCTTGTGATACCCCCTGTTGCTATGTAACTGTGCTCCTGATGGCCAGTGTGCAGCAGAAAAGACCTCCCAGCTTTGCTTTGGCCACTGTTAGGGCAGTGGTGAGAAACTGAGGGGATCAGCTAAATCACAGATTTTCTGTGTCTTTGCTATTTTGCTAACATGTTGCATTAGTAAAACATGGGCAGGAAGCCAAGGAGACATTAATTCTCCACCGTTCAGTGCTTGTTAGACAATATTGGGAGTATTGTGTCAATTTTGGGGGCTCCCCAGCGTGAGAAAGAAGCCCTTACAAACTAGAGCCAGTCCAAAGGAGAGCACACGGAATGGTCTGGGAGCTGGAATGTAGAAGAGAGGAGGCAGGCTGGATTTTTCCAGCATGAAGAGGGAGAAGTCTTGGGGGAGGGAGGGGTAGTTGCCTTTCTTAACTCCCTAACGTGGATCTCTAGAGAAGGCAGAGCCAGATTCCTCTTGGAGGAGGGCATGGAAAGGATTAGATGCAGGAGACATAAGTGTCAGCAAAGGAAATTGGTGTGGTGGGGGTGAAAGGCAATTCACTGGGAGTGGTCAGACAAGTGACAGGGAGCTCTGGGAGGCTGAGGGATACCCATCCCTGTAGGTATTCAGAGCTCATCTGGAAAAAGCCCAGAGTGAACTGGTCTGACTTCAGACCTGGCTCTGCTTTGAGCAGCGATTTGGACTAGACAACCTGCAAAGGTCCCTTCCAACCTGTTCTTCTCCCATATACCAGGAGTTGTGGGGTGGAAGTTTTCTACACTACTGCTTTGCTTTAGTCACAGGGGGCTTACAGATCTGATGCCAGCGCTGAGGAAGTGAAGTTCTCCAAATGTCATTGGGCGTTTTTATCTCGCTCTGAAGAGCAGCATAATAGAATGGATATTTTCAGGAAGCAGCAGCTTATGATGTTCTCTGTGTTTTTTGTCCTCCCTGAAGTGCCTGAGGATTATACTGTCAAGGAAGCAGAACTGAAAATGGGAAGCTTGCTAGGGCTGTGTCATGGGAGAGCTCCAACTTCCACTCAGGTGTAGTACTGCTGTGACTGAAAAGACCCTTGTGCTGCTTTTATGCTTTGTTTACACTTCCCAGTGTTTCATTTAGTCCTCTTTTTACTCTTGTAATGGCTGTAAACAGCATGGAAAAAAATGCTCAGTGACGCTGAGAACTGTAGAAATCGGCATGAAAGCTCACACTGTTTATCTCCATTGCAGAAGGCCAAGAGCATACACGTGACCAGTTACTATAGCTTGTTTGATTTACAGTGAATCGTTTATCATTTGCCTGCTTATCACTGTCCAACTTCTGCGCTCGGATGTGTGTATACTTTTTTAGAGAGCATAAAGTAAGAAAATGGAGATATTGCTCTTGATATCTGCAAATTATAAATACACAAGAAAACAGTTGTACGTTTGTGAAGCTCAGAGTGCTAGCAGGCTTCCTCTCTTGTTTGCAGCAGGCTAAGTACATGTACAGCTGGTTAATGAAGCTCTAATGATGGCCATAACTTAATTCCATGTGCTTCTCTGTCCTGCTTGGATTGTTTGTTTGCTTTAGCCTAAAGTAGTTTACTTGCTGTTTGACTGAAGACAGACTTGTGATGGCTGGTATATGTGTGCATTAAAGGGTGGTATTTCATGGTATTTCCATACTTAAATATGGATTCTGATAGCTTATACTTGCTTTTTTTTTTAGCTCTTCTTATATTTTATTGTTGGGAGTGACCCAAATGCCAGCCCTGAGATGGAGATAGTTGTGGAAGAGACTGCCTCTGTCAAAGAGGTAAGCCTGGCTGCTTTTAAAAGCTCGTGTCATCCTGGGTCAGTGCTCCTGCTCCTGGAGAGCTTTGCCTTCTCCACATCTCTCACTTCAGGCCACCAGGAGAGACAGAGGGAAAGGAAGTGTTTGAGCCCCAAAATGCCAGTGGGAAGAATGCCATGATCTTTCACCAAGTAGTAAAGAGACATCCTTGATTTTTCCCGAGAACGAACGTAACCCGACATGGCTAGCTACTCCTTTTGTACATAGCAGTCCACAGAAGGATAGGCAACCATGGCATAGCCTGCCACAGTGCTCTCGTTGTCCGTCAAACTCTGCGTGCACAGAATGGGAGTGAGGGGAGCCGGGAAGAACTCCGCACGGAGCAGAGGAAGCAGTTCTCGGTACTGCAAATCCAGCCTTCTGGCACAGCGTGCCAACACTGATGAGTCACAGTGGCTGTAAAGTGTTGAGTTCGTAGGGCTGGTTTCTGCAAGGTGCATCTTCAACTTCTGTGACAGAATGTGTTCAAGTAAAGCAACAAACTGACAGCACAGAGGTGTGGGTGGAGTTTTTTAACAGGTTGTAAAAGCTGACTCGTCTGATATCTCATACTTGAAGGGTTTAAGATGTAGTTCAAATCCACTGTGTCTATGTAATGATACAGTTTTCACGAAGTGACTGGGAGCCAGTCAGTTTTTATGTTAGAAAATTCTAGTGTAGATTTGCTGAAAACTTTCTATTTCCCAACCTTTGTATTGAGACAAGTCTCACCGTATGTTTCTTTTTTCAGTGCCTAAATTTAATGCTGGAAAAATCTGGATTATCAGGTTAGTTGTATTGTTGTTTAATGATTTTTTTTTAAGGGTTTTCCAGATTTCTAAGTCAGCTCTTGCTACCCTAAAACTTGCAAGTCGTAAGTTTATTACAATTATCTACGTGTCATTGTAATGTGAGGAGGGGAAAGAATTAGAAACTTTCAGTCTCACTGTGATAAAAACTGGCTCTGCAGTTGCTCTTGAAAATAAGTTTTGAGCTTTCTAGTTAATGAAAATATGGCAAAATCTACAGTACCTTGACTATTTGCTTGGGTGCAGGTGGAGGTGTTTGGCTGCTTTGAGAAGCTTTGCTATTGTAGTGGGACCCGCTGCATGAGATAACTGCAAAAAATAATGATTTTTGGTCACTTGGCTAAAAACAAGCCATTCAAAATGGGATCACAGGATCGCAGTTTGGTCGTTATTTGGAGATCTGAGTGGTAGCAGTTTCTTGTTAAAGCTTTTACATGAGGATTAGGAAGGAGATACAGACAGCACTAGCATGACACATGAATTTCCTGGCTGAACATCTCTTCCCATGCGTGGTGACAAGGAGGAAAAGAGACTTGGAGTGCCAGTGTTTTCCAGATTTCTTTCTATACATTTGTTGAATACTGAATTTGTGTTACAGTAGAGTGGTGTCTGGAAATTCAGCCACACTCAAAGGATAAAAGTTAACCTGAAACACACTGCTGTCAGAATATACGTGGAGTAGCCCGAATGAAAATTAGATTTTGTGCTCTTGTGGACATGTACATATGAGATGAAGTAGTTAATAATGTTTTGAAATCAACTTAACCTTTTTAATTTCTTCATAGTGTGCGTTTACTGCCAAGAATTGATGGTTCTTTTTTATTGCTTTATTTTATATTACCATCTTTGAACAACTGAATTTGGCACTGTGTAGAGATTCATGATCTGAGTGCTGTCATTCACAGTTATGTCAGACTTTGGTGGATTTTGATGTTCTAATTGTTTAAAAAGACTGCAGAATGTTGTCTGTCCCATGTCTCTCCCTCTCTGCCCCCCCCAGTAGAATTTATTGATGAGATTCCTTTTGGGTTTGAGATTTTTAGTTATGAAAGTCAGAAATTGTACCTTGTAAAGAATAAAGTGCATTTTCATCGGTTATTTTGGTCAATTGAAAAAGTTTTATTACGTTTGTTCCTTCTGTACCTGGTGCGCTTGTATATACAGGTGCTAAATATGAACTATTGTAATTTCTGCACTCCAGCATCTTTTTTTTTTCTCTCTAGTGTGAAATCTCCTGGTAGACAGTTGGGGAGGCGAAGTTAGATTTTTCCTTATAATATGGTTGTCATTTAAATGAGCCTCTCACTGATTCGGATGGTAAATTGACATGGGAAACATTTTCTTTCTTCTTAAACCAGGGCAATTAATTAGGTAGGTGAGGAAGAGACATTTATGAAAATAAAGAGAAGACAGTGCTTCTAGGGCTTAGTGAAGGACTTGAAGGTGGTTCTGCATTCAGTTTCTCAGAGTTGTGTTTAAAAAAGAAATAAAAAACAAGTAAAAGAACCTTTAACTCTTAAAGAGTTTTGTCAGGTTTGTTTGGAACAGCCCTATTGGCTAATTCTTTTTCCATGTGTATGTTTTTGTTTTTTGGTAGGTGACAACTGGCATTTGAGAAGGATTGACTGGTGCTATGAAGCAGGGGAAGCATTAAGTCAGGAAGTAAGAGGATCCTATTTTTGACATGAATCATGCGGCGGTTTATTTACTGCGTTTTCCTGTAGAGACTTTCCCTGGAGAGAGCTGCAGTGAGGCAAACGCGTGGTGTTTCTGGGGGTGCTACATCAGTGCACACGCCGTTTGACTTTCACAGGGCCTTACGAGGGCAGTGTTGGGATACCTGTGGTTAAAATGTAAATCTTTGCGCCCCCCTGCCTCTTCTCATGAAGCCATATCCAGGTAGTTTTTTCTGAAGTCTAGGCTTACCACGCTTCAAAGTTACGTCTGCAAAGAGGCATGAGGTGTCAGTTGGTGAGGTGTGGAGGTGCGAAGGAAACCCACAGGTCAGTAGGGTGCTCTGGAAGGGCTCCAGCAGAGGAGACTCCTGTAGGTGCAGTGCATGTGTGCAAAGTTGTCTGGATGTTTAATGGAGATTTCTGTGTTCTTTGGAAAAGCAAAACACTGTGGACCTTTGACATGTATGACTTAAGGAACCACCTGCATATCCTTCAGGACACAAAGCACAAGAAAGTGTAGACTTACAAGCATACTGTGCTTTCTCCTCCTACAGAATGCCACTTTGAAGGAAGTTAATGTTTGCAGAGGAGATACTTTGGTCGTAACTGAAGGAAAGCTTCCACCAAAGGTAAAAGGAGAGAGACTGTGCTCTTTAGTCAGTTGACAGTGTCTGGAGATTTGAATATAACAGTTGTTAATTTTTTTCCTCTTGCTTATTTTAAAAATATTTCAGTTGGAAAATTCTGATTGGCAATAATGGATAATGCTTTCTGTAGTTTTAAAGCTTTTTTGATTTCAGTCAACATTTATGATAATCTTAGTCTGCATATATTTATTATTCTTCATTCAACTTCTGCAGTGAAAGGCTTGCCCACTGCAGCTTCTATGCCTAGAGGTGTGTTGACAGATCAGGAGGAAATCCTTATTTTTGGCATGCAGGATTTTCACGAAGGCACAACTCCTGTACTAATGCTTCCTCACAAAATCATAAAAACAGAGGAATTTGAGTGTTTGCCTTCTGATTTGTACTGAGGGTGGCATTTGAAAACAGAGGGTCCTGCTGGGACCCCCTCTTGTCAGATGGAAGGATTCTTGGCTAACAAACCTCAAGCAATACCATAGGGTGGTTTGGGTTGGAAGAGACCTTTACAGGTCACCTAGTCCTGATCTTCTGCCGGATTGGGTTGCTCACAGCCCCATCCAACCTGAACTTGCACACTTGCAGGGATGGGGCATCTCTTCCAACTTCATCTCTTCTTAGTCTTGGGGTGGATCTACCTCCCTGGGCTCCCCACCAATATCTTGGATACTTTTTTTTCAGAAGAAAAGCATAGCATAAGAGCTTGTGGCAGCCGTGGAGTGGGTGTTAATAGCCCAGTTCAGAGCTGCTTAAGAAAGGAAGCGAGTCTCTCCAGCTCAGGAGAAGAGGTATCAGACTTAGTGTCCCTTCCTGACTGTGCAGAGCAGGTAGGAATGAGGAGTTTCTGAAGTGGCAGAGCAGCATTGCACTTGGTGAGCTTAAATGAACCCAGCATACCCTGGAAAGGTCCTGTGTCCAGATCTTTAGAGAATGGTGTAACTCGGTTGTATCTCTAATGTTAGATGCCATGACAGCAGCGCCAGGCTGATGATGTTAGGCTGTACAAGGCTGGATTTTTTTCACTCTTACCCCTGTAAAAGTTGGAAGTGAGAGCTGATGCTGTGTGATCACAAATGAGTATCGATGCCTTTGTAAAGCTCAGATTTGAACTGGTATTTTCCTTCTTCCTGAGATGAAGGTAGAATTTTTCATTGTGTGCGGTGGAACACACAAGCTAACCTGTACTTTCCGTTCACTTTTTAGGGTTTCCTGAAAATACCTATCTGGTGGTTCAAGTCCTCAATTGGTAAGAATCATGGAGAGGATGCACAAGACCAAGTGAATGGGATGACCTGCAAGATGGACACTTTGCAGGTGTCTCCAGCAGGAGGTGAGCTTGATCAGTTTTGGAAAGGAATTGTATGGCCTGATTGGCTGTGATTGCACTGAGGACTTTGAGTCAAACCCAACATTTTAACCCAAAGCCTAAAAATCCTTCTGAAACCTATGGGTAACTGTGCAAGTTTAAATAGGTTTATGGTGAAAGGAGCCACTTGAGAGAGATGCAATTTTTTACAAGGCCACAAATGCTGGATGATGCTATTCTGATGTTCCTTAGCTATATTTGGTCAAGAGTAAGAGCTCCACTAAATTTTGAAGCAGGGGCTCTTTACTTGTCAGTAAGTAAAATGGCTTCCCCATACCTGAAGACAGTGACAGTGTAGTCAAGCATCTACTGAGTGAACATGATTGGCTTTGAATGCCAGACTGTTAACACCACGTTTAATGCTATGTTGCTTTTTGAGAAGCTTTTAAAAGGAGCAATGAGTAAATCTTACATAGGATAAAAGACATTACATACAGCTCTTAACCTGCTTTTGTTCTTCTAAAGGTCAAAGCCAAATAAAAAAGCAGGTGGGGTAGGAAAATCAAGTGAGGGTTGAGATGGAAGAAGAAAATGAGGTGAGGACAAGTGTGAATTGGAAAATGTGAAAGAGCCAGATTTTCCTTTCTCCAGGAAGAATAATATTCTTCCTTTGCTGCTGAGTTGTGTTGCAGAGCAGGACCTTTATCTCCTTTTAGAAGGTTTCTTTGCAATTTTTCTCCTTGTCTGTCAAACTTTTTCCGAGTTTTACTTTCTGCCCTGATGACCTCAGTAGCATAGGTAAAAGCAGGTTTAACTTCCCTGGCAACACACTCAACATTTCAGGGTCATAACCAATAATTAAGACTATTTACCAATTTGAATAACTGGTCTTAGTTTTAAAATTTGTGGTATACAATCAGTTTGAGCTCTTCCTGTTTGGCAACTTACAGAATGTATTCTATGAACTGTATGTGATGTTCCTTGAACAGCCCTCCAAAAAAATTGAGGTCGGTCCTCTCTGTAAGTGAAGTATGAACGTGAAGTGACTGTTATCTCCTAGGACAATAAACAAAGTCATGTTGACTCCTGTGTTGTTTCTTTCTTCCTTCCTCCCTCTCCCCCTCATTTAAAGGTTCACTGGAATACATCCACACAGGCATGGATCTTTGTTATGCTGGCAGTATAGAAATAGCAGGAGAAGCTTCTTTGGAAGATCTGAAGATGCAGGTTAGATGTTCTCCTGTATTGGAAATGTACAGCAACACTGATTAATTGAGCTCTATTAATACCTATTTTCTATTTCCTTTTCCCTTGTCTCCAGTATGTTCTGATATGGCATTTGCTTATATGCCATGTCCAGTGGTAAGTACCAAGAGGCAGTTGGAGCATGTAGCTCAGAGACTTCCTTAGTCTGTCCCCTGCAGTTGCCATTCTACCTGTCATGTGTCCTGACCTGCAAAAGCCTTGTTGCACTTCATCGGGAAGTTTGGCTTGCAGCCCTATCTTTATTTCACAACGTAAAATTTATTCATGAGAAGCACACACATACAAGCACTTCCTGAACAGCCACGTTCCATTTCCACATTGTTCCTGTATTAGTTTTCTGCGTCTTTTCTTTTTTTTTTCTTTTTGTATGTTGAATCTAATGAATAAAGAATTGCTTTTGATGCACAGAAGGTCATGTTTGTCATTCAGGAAGGCATAGCTTAGTTTCTTTGGCCAGAAACTAACGTGCCTTTTTATGCTTTTTTTAACCATAAAAGTATGATTTTAATACACTAAAAAACCCCAAACCGAAACAACTGCAAAAGCAAAAAAAAAAAAAACAAACCCAAGAAGCCAACAAATAAAGGCCAAACAACCACCTCCAAACCATAAAAAGACACAAACTAATCCTGTCATAAGGCCCTTTATTGTTTAGCCAGTTGGTTGTTCTACTTAAACTGCCTAGGGAAGGATATCTCGTCTGATTCTGATCCCTACCAACACTTTGTCCTTTGGATCTGACTTCAGCTTCAGTCTCTGGCAAGCTGCTGCTATGAAAAACTGACCGTTTGTGTCTTGTGAACAAGGAGAATTGTCTTAGTACAGGAAGAGTATTGGGCCCTTGATAAGGGCTTAAAGGACCTTGCTCAGCACTCGGCTGGAAATTTGGGTAACGATTCTGTCAGCCTCATTCCCTCCCAGTTGTACAATTTTTGGTTAAAAAAAGAAATTTGGTACTTTGGAAGCGTAAGTTAAGCTGAGAAATGTTGGGAGGGAGTGAGTGAAGTCCAACTCGCTTTGAGATTGAAAAGAGAATGTGTCGATCGTAGCTGCTGGCTGTAAGTCACAAGCAACAGCTGGTGTGGAATAAATCTAAATACCTTGCCCTGTTTCTGATTGCGTCAGTATTGCACTGAGCATTAATCAGGTGGTTTTCTTTTTTCCAAGGAGACTGGCTGCTGAAATTGTTGACAAGATGTTTCTTTTTTTCAGGCCATGACCTTACTGTGCTGCCAGGAGCAGATTGTCCCACTGCCCTCCTTTCTTAGAGCATGGACGGTGGACAGTAAGCGCCCAGGCAAGCTTTTACGGAACAACAAGCAGCAGCTCAAGTAGGTTTCTTCTGGAACACTCGGGTAGCACTGCAGCAGAGTGGCCGTTGACTGGGTTCTGGGATGGATCGGTGGGGAAATCAATCAGCTCAGTCAAATGTCAACAGAAAGCTCATTTCTGGTTACTTCTATTTTTTGCCAAGCATGTTAACTTCAGACCTGTAGAAGGGGGGAAGTGTGAGCCTAAGTAGGTCATACCATCTGTGTTCTGCTAAGCTTTATTTTAGGTGTTTTTAACTGCCACTTTTATATGTTTCTGAGGCTTTAATTTTTGTTCTGATATCTGGAAAACCAAAGCAAGAGGCTAAGCACAGTTGTTCTTGACTAAAGCAGTGACTTTTCTACTTGGAAACTTAGAGTGTATGACTGGAAACTTGTATAATCTTTGGTTTGGTTTCAGTGAATATAAGCTGGGTGCCAGAGTGGAAATCTGCATGGAACCTTTACAAAAAGAAGAGCATCTGGGGTAAGATCTCAAGACACTGGTTTCTCACAGCAGTGCATTTCAGATGAGACTTAACGGAGCAGCTTTTAACTTAAGGACTTTGTCAAGATTGCAGATGTCGGGATGTGAGAAGCCTTTGAAGCTTATTTTCTGTTTTCCACAAACAAAAAAAAGGAAGGGCAGGAGGGAGTGAAAACTGGGAATTCTGGACTCCGAAAGCATGATTGACAATAAGGGTCTGTTTTCTCTTCCTGATACCAGCCCCTGTGAGCTGCTGCTTCGAGTCCAGATGAGCATCCCAGGGGAGAGGGACTACTATGACTCCACGGATTTGGTGTGGGACATCTCCAGAGAGTGCACAACCTGGGCTCTGAGGCAAAGAGTGGCTTCTCACTATTGCCTCCCTGTAGATAAAATTGAAATAGCCAAATACTTCCCTGAAAGATTTGAGTGGCTGCCAATCTCTAGCTGGGTAAGATCTGGAATGACAAAGTCCAACACTCGAGAGAAGTACGTGTTGGTTTGTGCTGCGGTTCTTGAGCACAGGGGGTTCTGAGACCTGCCATGTACGCATCTTCTGCTTTGGTTTTATTCAGACGCAGCAAATTTCAAAGAGGAAACGGAAGAAAAAACAGGAGAGTTTACAGTCAGCACCTTATCACCTGAAAGATGGAGATATAATTGGGGTGAAGGTAAATAAACTTGTCTTTAATCGTTGCACAAGGATGAGGTTCAGGCACTCTCCCCTTTGCAGTATCTTAATTTTTTCCTGGTTTTCCTGAGTCCTGCTACATCTCTATGAAAGTACTGGTATGTGGATCTGCACCATATATTTTGTGCATAGAAAACTTGTTGCTACTAGTCCTTTTCTTTTTTCCTGTCCTTTCTCAACATGATGGAAGTTTCATGCTTTTCTCCTTCCATCTTGGTATGGCAGAAGAGGGCAACATGTCAGTGGCTCTTGTGTTCTCCAGTGCATAACAATCAGTTTGTGCTCTAAACTATCCAGAAGAAACTAGATTTCTTACCCTCATTTTATTGATGTGTTTTTTTCAACTCTGAATAAAATCCAAGAATAGTGTCCTTTAAAAATCATACTGTAAATTTAAACCCATTCCATTTTCAAAAGTATTATTACAGATTTATATAAATATGTAAAAAAGAATGACACAGCAGCATATTGATCTCTGAACGGGCAATAAGGCTTATTTAGGAGACCTCTGCAAGAACATACTGGCTCATTTTAAAGCAGTATGTGAAAAGTCTGATGTCTGATCCTGATGCATTGGAGAACTATCTCTGAATAAGCAAAATCACCATTAAATGCAAAAAATAGAGGAGTCTAAAGTTGAATTTTTTCCACTTAGTTAAAATGAAGTTAATTGCTGTAAAACTAGTTAGAGGAAATGCTCTGAAAATTAATAGTGTAAACTGAGAAGCATGTGGAAAATAGTTTGAGCTTACAGTTTTCATCCACCAAATCCTTTTTCACAACAGAATCTTCTCCTTGATGACAGTAAGGACTTCAGCACAGTTAGAGATGATATTGGGAAAGAGAAGCAAAGGCAGCTTGCACTAGGAAAAAAGAAGAGGTATGGAGTATTTACATTTATTATTCTTTAAAATGAGCGGTCTGTTCTTTGCCACTTTTCAGACTAGCTTGATAGCTGGGTAATTTTTTGGGCCAGTGCTAGCTGGGTGCTTGTAGCACACGCAATTCCAGGAGTCCTGAAGGAAGTGCTTAGGTAATTCAAACTCCCGGCTCTAAGTGCCAAATTTCTACACCAAGCCTCAAGGTTTTCTTCTCTTGCAAGACACTGCAGCATTTGTCCTTGCCTCTGGGGCTGAGAAATGACCTCACGCCTTGGCTGCACTGGCCTTGCACAGGCTGTGAGTGTGAGCTTACGGTGTCATTCTTACATCTACGTGGACATGGGGTTCCAGTCCAGGCTCGTGCTGCTGTTGTTGCTAAGGCTCAACACTAATACGAGGAATCTTAATTATTTTTGTTTTAATAGTCGGCAAGCCGAACGCTTACAGGACCACGTTTTCTCTGAGGAAAAGCTGAATATTAAGCACCGTAAACCAGAAGTGGCTCTTTCTATCAATGTGGGCGTTTTCAGATAGCACCAGGAGACGGTTTGCTGACCAGCCCGTAGTACCGCTGTAGTAAATTGGAATGGAGAACCTCAACTGGAGCAGCCAGAGTGTCTGTCCTGAAGTGTCTTCAAGAATCACCGAGACAAACTGGATATAGGATGCAGGATAACTTTGATTTTCTTCTAATCTCTCTTGAGAAAGTGCTTTAGCATCCCTTTATCAACGTGGTACTTATTCTCAGGCTAGGGACATGCACTTTATCCATGAGAAAATGGATTAATATAGTGTAAAACCCTCGGTGACTGTTTTGTAATCACCTTAAATGCTTATTTCTTTTTTTTTTTGGTCAGATGCTGATGTTTTGCACCATCACTCCATAGTTTGGGGGGTTTTAAGGCATTCATAATCATCTCTCTTCAGAATTTTTTTTCCATTTCTGATCCCTGAAGTGGCTAGCGATACCAGAATGTGCTTTTGTCTCTCTGTATATACATCTAGGTCTCTAGTAGCTGGAGTCAGATTTCAGGAATGAAGGAAATGTGAAAATCTTTGGACAAAGTGTACGACATTGGCTCAAAAAAGGGCAAGTTCAGAGTCTGTCAAGCTCTAAAACCTGAAGACCTTGTGATATTGAACAACGGTGCGGTAATCTTATATTTTAAAGTTGGCAGGGCTTTTTTGTTGTCCATAAGCATCATTAACAAAAAAAATCCCCAAAATGGATGGAAAAAAAAATTAGCAGATCTGATGTTTGGTCTTAAGTGAGTTTCATTGTACTCAGGAAAAAGGCTTGTGTTTTCAGTATTCTTATTCAGAGGACTTTCCCTCATTTCTCATGTTTTCAATTGCTCTAAAATGCTTTTACATGTGAGGGAGAGCTGCTCTTGGTGTCACAAAGGCGCTTTACAGCCTCTGTGACACAAGAGGATGTATGTGGCTCACTTTGACCGAACTCGCCATCCAACCTTCTGGAGTAAAATGTTTACGAAACGCTTGTGAGATCGGATCTCAAGGTTGAGAATGTGTGTAACTAGCTGAGGAGAGACGATATTTTTCTTACTCCTGAGGCTGGGAATCAGGGTTTACTAGCAGTTGGTGTTTCAGCAACTTTTCTGACGCTTACAATACTTGAACGGTTTTCCCCCACTTTATGTGGCTGCATAACTCAATTTCCCACCAGGTTCCGAATTTCCTTTGAGCACCTCTAGTACTGACAAATTAACCCGAACTGTTCACGGAGGAATTGTTTGTAATTAGATTTTAAGCGTGTTTTGAGTGGTAAGGTGGAAACGGAAGGGTGTTCTGTGCTGCTGGCATCTGACGTGTGCGCCTTTTGCGGCTGGGAACCTGTGCGAATGGATGGCTCTGTCAAGGCAGGTCCGCTGTCAGAGGCACTGCAGAGCCCTGTGGAACTGCACAAGTGTCTGGAAACCTGTTCTGAAATGAGCCTGAAGGCTCCTGAATTAAACCTCTTGTAATGAGAGGACAAAATACACCTCACTTCTGGGGACCGCCGTAAAGGTTTAACCTGTGTCGTACGCCCATAGAAGGTTTTGTAGAAGAAGGTGCCAGTACAGCAGACTAGTAAAATTTTGGTTGATGTGAGAAGTTGTCTCATTTATCTTTTGTAGGTTAATGAGATTCTGGTATTTCAGACAGCTTTGAGGCAAAAACTGACACACTCTATTGGCAAAAAAAAAAAAAGGCACCTTGAAGCATATAATTAATATTTATTTATTTATTTACATTTTTTTAGGTGCTTCTGTGCTTTCTTAGGCTGACTCATTCAAGAAGGGAATATTTTCATTTCCTCACTGTTTCGGTTGCAGCTAGGCTTGACTTGGACCTTGAAACCCTAGCTTTACGGATAGATTTTCTGACTAAGGTGAGGGCAGCCAGTTGCTTTCCCTGGTCTTACTCTGTGTCGCCTTCTTCCACATCAACAAGTGTTCTTGGTAGCCAGGGTTTACAGAAACAATGGCACGTGCTGGTTACTGAGCGAAGCCAGAGGGGTCTGTGTTAGCAGATTGTTCCACTGCCTTGTGCGTCCCTTGCTGCCTCTTTAATTCCTCCAGTTCCTGGCTGGACTGAGCTCAACCTTCCCACCTCCATTCTCTTAACTTTGGTCTCTTCTTGAAAACACCAAGTTTGGAGAAATTTTTGGTATGGATTCCAAGTACGAACGTGGGGACTTTAGTACGTGCCTTTGTCAAAGTGTAATGTAGCAGCGCCTACACTGAACCAATCTTGGATTCTTTCTAATGTTGGCTCAAAATGCCTATTTCTTTTTTTCTTAAAACTATTGTGGGTTATTCCACAATGCAAGAGTTCCTTAAAAATGGGGGTGGGAAGAGGAAACTCCTTTTTAAACTGGAGTCTCTGTGATTCCACCATATATGATGGTTATATTCCAAAGCCTGGAAAAGCTTTCGTCTTTATTTTTCAAGTGTTCTTCACAAAATAAAAAATCCTTTCTATATGTCGATTTGATTTGTCTGTGTATGTCTCACTGATGACGTTGGTTGGGAATGGCAGGAATTGGTTCCTAACGTTGGATGGGGCACAACATTCGTTAAGCTTTTTTTTTTTTTAATTTTTTTTTTTTTACATCTGTTCCCAAGACAGCATTTCGATCTCCATGCAGGAAGTTTCCCCAACCCGGCTGGGGTTGCACGCTGCCAAGATCTGGGTTCAGTTGGAGGACTGGGATTTTGATGCAAGTTAGTGATTTTTATCTTGGGTTTTCCCTCTTTTTTAGAAAGCATGATCTGTTATTTACTTCCCATCATTTCAGCCCCATATTTGTGTGCACATATGTTAATTTTGTCTGTGTGGTCCCTGTAAAAGCGCACATATTCCACTCTAGGAATCTTACTAGGAGAAAATTGTGTGTTTTCTTTTTCTTTTCCTCATAACCCATTCCAGTTGGCTGAAGTGATTATGAAGCAGGAGGAGGTGGCCCATTTAAAGCCAAGTCATTCTCGCTCCCTTTAGTTCTCCCTCGGTGGCCACGCAGCAGTTGTCGCGTTCTGGAGGGTGATGCAGGTACAAACCCTGGAAGGATGAGCGATGGTGCGGGGGGGGTGACTGGGAGGGGGGAACGATGGCGTGGAGGCTGCAGGCTGTGCTCAGGACACCTCTTGGTCTGAGCTCCCAGCCCTCGAGTCAGTGGCTGGAAAGCTAACTACTAAACTGTTATTTTTCTGTTTTCTGACTGGCTGTGGTCAGAGCAGCTCTGTGCACAGAGAAGCACAAGGGACATGGTAAGGATACGGATCTTTATCAGAGCCAGGCAGGGGAGCTGTGTCTATCGAATGGATTTTGCACATACCGCTGCTTCTGCTCCTGGGTTTGATCTCGATGCTGGTGCCTGGGAAGCCCATCAATCTTCTTGTTGGTTTGTGAGTGTCTTGCTAAGAGAGTATCAGCTTCATAGTTAACAAATCCCTAAACTCCTGCATCGCAAAGCTGTCCCATAAACTTTAACTGTAGCCCCAACCGATTTTGATGTGGGTGGTTGTATTCAGATGGCGATCAGTAGGGTGTAAACATCCGCTTCTGCTAAAATGTCCTTGCTAATCCCTGGGGAGAACTGCATTTAGAGAAAAAACACAGCTGGCCTGAGTCCATTGTGCTTCCTTCCTTGCTGACAACTTTTTACTGCAGTTCAGCAACCCTTACTGGTTCTAGGGATTAACTATGTTTTAATTCCCTTTCCCTTTGCTCTGCGGTAACACCCAAGCCCTGGGCATTGCTCGCAGGGCTCTGAGGCTGTGCCCCTCTGTGCTGGCAGCCTCCCTCCCGGCACTGGTTTTAGCTGGGGTAGAATTACATGTGTTGTCGCAAAACTGCAGGTTCGCTCCTGGTGTGCAATGAGCAGTCTCACGCACAGAGATGGGATATTGGTTTTATTAACACAAATGTGCGAGCTTGGATGCTGGATGAAACTAGTATAACGGTTTCTAGAAAGTCCCCAACTTTTATATACATTCATATCACAATTCTCAGCCGCCGGGACAGTCCCATGGAGCTGACTGGTCACTTCATTAGCATATGCCTTACATAAGTAAAAACATAGCACGCCCAAAGGGGAAGGGTCCCTTCTTGGTCCGGGGTCCCCTACCTAAGGGGTGTGATTTTTAGTGTTCTAATGAGGGTATTCAGTTTAGGACATCATTTTTGTGCCAAAAGCTGACCATACATTCTTAATTATGCACAAGATAATGTGAGTACGCATAGTTACACATTTTGTCCAGGATGCTCCAATCTTCAAGGACATAGTCCCTGATTAGGAGTTCCTCAAGGAATTACTCCTGACATTCCAAAGCATCTTCAAGGGTAAAACATTTTGCTACTAAGTGCATGCAACCACCTACGTATATATATTTCTGTGCCTCAGTTAAAAGGTTCGTTATCTGTGCTCAAGACAACACCTGGGTAACTGCCAGGATGCTCCCTCCAACCACCCCTCCACCACCTGCTCCCCGTAGCTAGAATGGACGCCTGGAGGGTGTCTTTCTTTTGGGGTGCTGTGCAGGACTGTTAAAGATTGCCCGGTCGGAATTTACTTGCAGCGATTTCCCAATTCTTGCTTTTTGTATCGTAGACTGAGGGTGCAGGGCTGGAGGCTGAGGGAGCTTGGTTAACGGCCTGGTTGGAGTAAGAGCGACCTGCTCAGTTCTGCAGAGCATCAATTTCTTTTTACTATGGCCATGTGCATAAAAATAATGTGGAAAACAAGGAGAAGAAATCTGGAAAGGAAATGTGTTGGTCCTCTATTTTTGTTGTTTGAATTAAAAAAAGAAATTGTGCTGTGGAAAAATCACTGCAACAAGTGCAAGGTGGCTGGGCACAGAAGGCAAACTTAGATTAGAAATGCCTTTTCTAAGTATCGTTTTCAGCCTGATGCAAGTTGGGGTAAAGAAGAGTGTGAACACTATGAAAGAACATTCCTCTCTATTAATGGTAATCGTAAAGCCGTGAAGATGAACTGCTACTTAAAAATCAGTGGGCCTTGCCTCGTTCTG